TAATGGCTCGGGCAGCTCGAAAAGCTTGGACGACCAGGTCGACTCGAACATCTCGTTTTGCCCAAGCTTTCCAATAATTAACCTATTCAACACAAAAAATAGACGAGAAAATACGGCAAAATAGAAAAACATAAGACGAACGCAAAAATACACGAAATACGATAAAATGGGATGGTCAATTCTAAAACGGACCTAAAAAAGCTCTACTAAAGTATGAAAAGCACACAAAAATTACGACAAAAACACAACAAACAACAATATCTGACAAGTACCTGAAGCGTCCAATTATTGAGTATACTCTAGCCGAGAAACTAATCGTTCTCTAATTTTTAGCTAAGTATAGAGTCATGCCTACATACATGTCAGCCGGAGGTTTATCAACCACATCGAATGTAGTTTCCCATTCGATTTATAAGAGTCGGTGTGTTTTATTTAATTGCATTGCATTTATCTTACTTTATTTTATTTGCTCGACAAATTATCTAATAAGCTTATTACGATTAATTAGATGTCCTTTTCTATTTATTCTAATAAGTTAAATAATTTTTATAGATGTCCTTGTCTACTTAAATTATTTTCAATTTTATTTTTGTTCGGCAATCGAAAATCATTTGAAATCCTTTAGTGCATTCGCGAATTTATTTTGAGCCTTTTCCGAGCATGACTTGAGATATATACTTTGTCCTTTATGCTCATTTTTTGCCCTTTTTACTTGTTGGCTTCTTCCTTTTTTGCTCATAAAACACTGGCCCAAGGAATTGGAAAAAATTGGCCTGTCACAGATCTGCAAAAATAATAACTGATGTATGCAGAGATGCTCCTTGGGACGCTTCAGAAAAATATAATTCCAGAAGTTATCAACCAGAAAAAAGAAAAAGAAAATTACTGCTCTAACGTCTGCCAAAAATACCCCTAGGACGTGAGTACACACGCCCACCAACGAAGCCCAACAATCTCGTTCATCCGCACACGAGTCCCAAGCCGTGCCAGTCCGCACTATGCCAGCCCGCGATTGACAGTATTGTTCATACAATTCTCTGCATATTCGTCTTCTATTTTATCGCATAATTTTACGCACTTTCTCAATTAACTTCGCTTATAGTTCGCATAATTTATCATATAATAGGATCACACTTGCTTAATTATATTTTTCTTTCTGTTGTGTAGTTTATCGTATAATTATTTCAAACTTGATTAGTTAAATTCGCCTCTCTGGAGCATAGTAGTTTATCGCATAGTGAGATCAAACTTGCTTGATAATCTTGGTCTGTCTGTCGCATTGTTTATTGCATAATTAATTCACACTTTATTAATTAACTTATCATGTCTTTTGCGTAATTTCTCACATAATGAGATCTCATTTACTTGATTATTATCACATGTCTATTGCATAGTTTATCTTATAAGTAATCTACACTTTCTCAATTAACTCTGCTATCTGTTGCAAACTTTATCTTGTAATTTTTTTCGCACTTGTTCAATTAATTTTGCTTGTCTGTCGCATAGTCGATCACATAAGCAATTCGCTCTTTCTTAATTAACTTTCCTGTCTGTTGGATGCTTGATTGCTTAATTTGTTTTTCACTTTACCCAATGAACTTGCTTGTGTGTCGCATATCATATTGTTTAAATATTACGCAATTTAAATTATCTTCACTAGTTTTTTCGAATAATTGTTTCACACTTTATCAATTATGCTCATTTGTTTATCGCATAGGTTATCGCTAACTGTTTCGCACTTACGACAAGCAAAAGTACGAACTTGTAGATCTATGATTTTTCAACCCATTTTGGACATGACTATATACTGGTGGGGGGTCTTGCATTAACCTACCCTTCTGAGATGTTTTCTAAAAAATAATAATAATAATAATAATAATAATAATAATAATAATAATAATAATAATAATAAAATAAATAAAAATAAAAAATAAATAAAATAGAAAAAAAAAATTTGTTTCGCACTTTATCAATTATTTTTGCATGTCTATCTCATAGCTTGTTACATCAATTATCTTTGCCAGTTTATCGCATAGTTTATCACATAATTATTTTGTGCTTTATGAATTATGTTTTCTTGTTCATCGCATAGGTTATCGTAATAACTATTTCGCACTTTAACAATTATATTTGGTGGGTCGTATAGTTTATCGCATAATTATTTTGCACTTTATCAATTATGTTTGCCTGTTTGTCGCATAGTTTATCACATAACTATTTTGCAATTTAACAATTATCTTTCGTTTGTATGTCGCATGTTTATCGCATAATTGTTTCACACTTCATCTTGCATGGATGTCGCATAACTTATTGTGTAATTGTTTCTGCACTTTATGGGGTGAAAGGTTAACTTATTATTTGGAGGTGTGTAAAACTTTCCATCTTCAGATGGGAGTGAAAATAGTTATTCCTCATTATATTTACTAAATAGTAATACCGAGTACTAATATCTAAAGCGGTACAATTGCTAGTGAGGTATACCAATAGAGGCGATTGTCTTAATTGCTCGTTTAATTTCTCGTCACGTGTTAGGAGTTAGAATTATTTGTCTCAATGAACCTTTCTTCTATCTCGGTTGTAATTTCTTATGCGATTATTTGTCTTTGTTTCTTGCTTGTTTTCTCGCCCTAATCTTCTCGTTTGCCCTTAAATTCAGTAATTTTCGAGACATTTTGCCTTTTCACATCCACCATTGCTTTTCCTCTTCCGCGAAGATGACGTGCTCTGGGGCCAGTCCCATTTATGTTGTCGTTCTGTCAGCCCAATTTCTGTCTTGGTGTTCCCTCCCCAGGTGGGTGACTCGTGGATCTGGACGATGTCTCAGGTGTGTTGATGGTGCAGTCGACGACGGTCACCGTCCTTGTGGTGGCTGAAGTTAGTTACGAAGTTTGATTCCCTTGGCCGTCTGGCTCTCTGGGTCATAGAAGGACAGTCCTCTCTAGTGGGTTGCAGCTGTTTGGTTGTAGTTTCTGGAGTTGTGTCTGGGAAGACGGCCACCGTCGGGCCTCGGAGCTATTTTTCTGTGGTGGTCCATATGAAAGTAGGTCTTGGTTTGTTGATTCTGGTTGGTTTAACCATAACCTATTGAGTATGGAAGTTTGAAGTTTTTTAATCTGGTATTGTCTTCAAGTGTTGTTCTCGTTGGGAAGGTTGTGAGTTGTTGGACGACAGTGAGGAGCGCTTTAGTATATTGTTTAGGCGTGTGTTGTTATGCCTTTTGTTTTTCTTATAGTTTTTCGTTTTCAGTCCAGCTGTGTTTGGTTTTTAATTTCCTTTTCCTTTATGAAGTTTTTTTGGTTTGCGGGTGCTTGTAACCCTTGGTTGTCTGTGTAATTTTAAGGAAGGTTCATCCAACCTTTGTTCTGATTCTACTGACGTTCTTTGACACCTCGTGTGTACTCCGAGTTTTTAAGTTTAATATAATTATTATTTGAGAAAGAAAAAATAAATCCACATCAACAACACTAGTAATTAGCAAAAGTCCATCTTACCATGTCTAGCTTATGCTAATTTCTCTCTCTCTCTCTCTCTCTCTCTCTCTCTCTCTCTCTCTCTTAAATTTCTGCCTATTTCTCTACTACCATAATTCCTGCTCTTCGTGCCTTCCCCAGTTGGCGTCGATTCTTTCTGACAGGGGCCAGCTCTAGGCTGCGCGATTTTCCTCCCGAATTAGTGTCAGTGGCTAGCCTTTGCAGCGCTAGAAGAGAATGGCGTCCCAGGAGCTTCTCGGCATTTGTGTGGCTACCGCCCTAGGGTGTTGGGTCATCGAACTCCAAGGGTTGCAGCGGTGGAGGGTAATNNNNGGGGGGGGCTCTAGTAGCCAGCGGTGGTCGGGGTGGAGGACGGCAGGCCTTCTCCCCTGTGTCCTCTCTTCCCCTGGTGTTGGGTTTAGAGGTCGACTGGAGTTTTCCATTCTTGGTCCATGGTGTGGACTGCGTTTAGGGCGGCGGTTGTGTGGAGGAGGAGGTTAGGTTGGCATTCCTCCAGCTGCAGGGTCGGGGTCGACTGTTTTGTTTGGGTGCACAACCAAGTTCTTTAGTTGCGATTCCAGTTAGGCGTGTTTTTGCAGTTTCTAGAGCGACGTCTAGGGGCATGGTCCGGTCCATTGGCGTGGTCGTCCAAGTTGCTGGCGTCGTGTTGCTCTTTGCGTGTTTTGCCAGCTAAATTAAGGGCTTTGTCTTGCCTTAGTTTTTTTTAGTTGTTTTGTGTTTAGGTGGTGTATTGTTGGTGCTTGTGTTTTTGCGTTGGGGTATTGTGTAGTTGGTGTTGTTGTGTTTCTCTCACAGGGTAGTGTGTATTCCCCTTTATGGGAGTTTTATTCTCTAGATGTGGACTTAGGTAGTATTTTGTTTGTTGTCTTTGAGTGCGTTTGTTTTGCTTTGTTTTGTTCTAGTGTAGGTTATAGGCGAGATTAAGATATGTTCTCCTACTAGATTCAGCTCTAGAACTGCTTTATTAAGCTGTCGGACTGTTTCCTGGATGTAATTGTTTGTGTTTTTATAAAATTTTACCGTTTCAAATAAATAAATAAATAAATCTACACTATGACACCCCTTTTTATTTTGCCACAAGACAACCCAAATTTATGAGATTTTTCTCTTTGATACTAGGTTCTCTAATTTTTTATTTTTTTTTAAATGTCATTGAGATTTCTTAATTTCTACCATTCATTTTGTATACCCAGTTTGGCTTGATTTGCCAAGTTCATTATGTTTGACATGTAAACATTATTGACAGATTTAGTAGATTGTTTCATCATATTAATTTTCCACTAAATTAAAAGTCCTAGCATGACAAAAAACAAGTCCAAGAAGGACAACAAAATCAAAGACACACCAAAAACAGTAATAGTATATTCTCTGCTTATTTATTTCATTTGTTTGTGTTTAATTTTCTTCCCATGAACATTACACGGATTCATCTGCTCTTTTATAGAACAGATCAATCATCTTTGAAGTTGTAATAAAGTATTTACTCTTAACAGATACAAGTGGTGGTCATCACTGCAGCTTGAGATTCTTCATGAGCCTGTTAAAAAAAGGGGAAAAAAAATAAAAATTATTAAGGGGAAACCAACTTTAACACAATTTTGCTTCTTTTTAAGCAAAATTACCTGAGCTCATTAGTGTAGATTGGTCTGGCATTGGTGGGTGTGGTCTTGTAGTTGGGTATGGGGACTTGGTCGGTTTCGATTTGCATGATTTCCCTGACGAGCAACTCATAGTGGCTCTGGACTTCCTCGGCCGACTTACCGCTAATCCTCCGAGCTATGTTGTGCCACCTGTCGGGCGTGTCCTTGTCGAACATGGCCAGGGCCTCCTCGAATTGCTTGTTTTGCTTCGGCGTCCAAGACGAGGAGGACCCGCGGGCCGACTTCATCGAACTCGATGCCATGAGAGGAAAATATTAGTTTTTTTTTTTTTGGCCTAAAAGTGAATATGATCGTCAAAATTTTGAATTTTTTTTATGGAGGAGAGGACTTGATTCTTTCAACTACAAAGTTATGGTTTTGTTTTTTTTGTTTATAGTGAGAGATTGGTTAGGGGAGGTCATTATATATAAGGAGGAAAGTGTGATGGTGGGTACAAGAATATTTATTTTTTATTTATATATACTCATGCGTATATGTGTTAGACCCAATTGTGAAAACCTCACTGGCGGCATGTACGGTAAATTATTATCATATGTAATTATGTATGAAGGGGCAAAGGTAGGGCTGCAAACGAGTCGAGCCGCTCAAAAGCCGCTCGCGAGCGCTCGAGTCAAAGCTCGACTCAAGTTCGAGTTTGACCGAACTCGAGTCGAGCTCGAGCGGCTCGAGCACGAACTCGAGTCGAGCTCGAGCTTATATTTTGCCTTGTCGAGCGGCTCGAGATATACGTTAATGATAAAAATACCCCTTATTATGTATAGTAGCATAGGTGCTTAATGGTAATTTTATCTAATTTTCGAGCCGAACTCGAGCCGAGCTCGAGCATTTTGATTTCGAGTCGAGCACGAGCCGAGTTCGAGCTATTGTAATTTCTTATCGATCGAGCTCGAGCCTAAAAAATCAAGCTCGACGAGCTCGAGCTCGACGAGCTCGAGCTCGAGCTCGAGCAGCTAAAAAAAACTCAATCTTGCTCGATAACGCCATTGCTCGACTCGGCTCGGCTCGTTTGCACTTCTAGGCAAAGGGGGAAAATATTTCATGATTCAAAATTGTACTTCGATTTCTATTTCATTCCGTTCGATGATTGACATATGTATGATTGTGATGTCGCTATGGATACATGTTTTTGTTTTTATGAAACATGAATTTGAGAGAAAGATGTTCATCACTATGCCAAGATGATGGAAAAGTGAAGTTCATATGTAGAGAACAAAAGGGCTTTTTTTTCAGCTGAATTATATTTGTTTTTGTTTTACATTTTTTAGATGAAAAAAGTCATTTTCTTGTCCTTTTAAAAATATCATCATCAGCAAGTGGATTAAAATGGGGAATTGATCCCACCAAATTTCAAATGAAGATAGATGCGCCCAAACGACACAAACGATAATATACTACCATAAATGTCAAGCACAAACATCTTTTGCCTTCTTTTTTGAGGGATATTGTTCCCCCTTTTTTTTTCCTCCTTATCATATCCTATATCGTTCGATGATTTTATTCAGTCTTGATTATACAGGACGAATTTGGTGCGCAATACCAAGTTGCACGTTAGTTGTGATGGAGACGAGATCGCTCTCGCGTTTCGATAAATATGATCGAATGTCGTTGTTTAATTAATTATTTTATTGTATTTCTCCTCATTATTAATAGATTTCCTTATTTATGTTATTTAGAATTAGGAAATAATTATTTGGTTTTATCTTGTTTAGCAAGTTAGGTTTGTGGGGAGTCTAAGACTATATATTTATGTATTCTCTTCATAACCCGACGATGAATGAATTTGAGTTTATTTGATATTGTAAGTTCTTCACGAGAGAGTATCTTGTATCTTTCTCGTTCTTATTCACGTTCTTTACCAGTCGGTATCTGGAGA